CTTGACTAGAGCACCTGCTGCACGAGCGCTCGTGCAGCCGCCGCGGCTTCATTCAAAGCGACTAGCTCGCGCTTTAACTCCATACTAAGGTGAGACAAAGTTTAGGGGGCTCTCTCCTGTGACGTACGGCTGTGATTCGACCAGATGACGCGCCAGGTAATCGCACGGAATGGTCATGTTAGTTCGGACCAGGGATGGGCAGTATTTCAAATACAAGTATTTGAAATACGTATTCCAAATACTTTGTGTATTTTGCATTTGTATTTAAGTACAAATTGGGCAATGTATTTGACGTGTGTATTTAAATACTAAGACGTGGGTATTTCAAATACAATTGTAATTAAATACAATTTTGTGGGCTAAAATACGGCCCTCAAATTTATTGTCACTGTCCAGAGCAGAAAGAAAACTACGTTCTGCAGCGAATGCAGTGTCTCTCAATCAAGCACAAGCGTTTAGTCACTTTGTGATTACGGTGCTAGTCCAAGGCAAGAATAATGACGAAATCGACGTTCACAGGCAGACTGGCTAAATAAGTGCCTGTGACAACTTGTGATGCTTTCCAGCCTGATTTCCACCCATATTTTTGCCTGGAACATTCTAAACGCGAAGGTCGCCCAGATTTTCGTAACTGGTGTGAGTTGCAACAATAACAAATTCTCTAGCTAGTGCTGCGCGTCTCGGTCGTCTCGGTTTTTTGCTGGTCTATACCAAAATGTAATCGACAAAAAAAGCTGCTTGGAGCTCTGTACTTTTTTCAGCTATTACGTCCAAGCTGATTACATTTTTTTGTGATTATATTTCTATTATGTTACTAGAGCCTCGCACACTAACTCCCGAGTGTGCGACGCAAAATTAAAATGAGATACCCAGAAACCTGTTGCAGATGGGCCTGAAGTCGCTGACCCGAATTTAGAGGAATGTATTTGAAAACGTATTTGGAGGGAGACCAAATACATTTGGTTGTATTTGTTTCTTGTAATTAAATGCTTTTTTGGATATGTAATTAGATTTGTAGTTAAATACATTTTTGACGAAGTATTTTGTATTTGTATTTCGACACATATTTGCATGTATTTTGCCCATTCCTGGTTCGGACCTATGCCGACTGATAACTGCAGTCTTTTTTTTTTTTTTTTTCAAGTGTATGACGTTTTAGGAGTTTTTTGTTTTTCCTACTGAAGTACAGCGTCTTTAAGCAACGTTTAATAAACACAATCTTTAAGATGTGCAAAATCAAGCCGGGAGCTTTACATATGACAGCTTGGGCGGCGAGCGTTACGGCGTTTCGATTTTTGTTCTGTTGGATCTGTATAGAAAACTTTACTGTGCAGTTACCGGAGTGTAGGACGTGCCGTCATTTTAGCTGTGCACCCGTACGCTGTTGTGTTGCGTGGCGCCGCGCACCTTTGTTTTGGATAATGGGTGATGCCGATTAGGACGCTTTCGTCCAAGTGTGATTCGATAGTCACTGGCGAGAACTCGTACGGCACCGTGCAAACAAGTCACAGTAATATACATTCCTTTTTTGCAGTGGCGCTCTTTTTTCTTCTGCGTCCAATGTGCGGCAAAGCGGATTACAACACTGCGACTTATGCTTGAAGGAAAAGCTAAAATTTCCATAGCTTCATAAGTTTCCGGGCTTGTCTCAACGAAACTAGGGCTGTTGGTCAATTTGTTTTTTACAATTTTCGCCAAGGATTGAAGCTGTCGCTGGAAATTGCCTTACACATTTTGAACAATTCTTGGGGTTCGCAAAAAACACACGCACAAACGGCAGTAATCTATAGCAGGTGTATAACTCCGTTTTTGGGCACTTAAGTGTCATTACGACTTATTAAATCTTACAGATTTTGATCGTAGAAAAGGTTTTCGCATTTTTCCATCGAACGGCCGAATAGGAGGACTTTAGTTGAAGCAACTCCGGGAGCCAACCAGTTGTTTCGAGGACATTTGTTCACTTGTTTGAAGCATGCAAACAGAAATCAACTCACAGAACACTGTGAACCCAGCGGGTACACGCAGTCGTTGTCATTGAAGTATTGATACTACACACGCGAGTGGTTGTCAAACTTGGTTTCCAATTTTCAACTTGATGAGCCATTTCTTTCTCGGTTTCCCCTCGTTCAAATGAAAAAAATGTTCACCCTAGTCAACATGGTAAGTGCTGTACTGGGGTGAAGCGCTGTATATTCAGATAGAGAAGAGTATAACACCATTCTGGAACTCAGACACTTCAGCATCAAGTGCTTGCTTATACACGACTACGCGTCTTCTAGATATGACAAAATGTTACACTACAAAGTATAACATCCGAGCAAAGCATGAGGTGAGCTGATGAACCAAGGAATCTCCGCCGTCCGCTCGGTCCCCCCTACACGCTACGTCATAAACGATGACGATGATGATGATAGCTGGAGAAGCGCCCCCTGTAGTTCGCGCACGCCACCAATTCGCACTGGTGTATAGCGAAAATGGCCCTTTTATGCATCACTCCTGTTTGTATAACATGCATGCTAAATTCAAAATAACAGGGGTGGAAGCGGGCTAGAGCCTTTTGTATCAGGGCTGGGAGCAGCAAAAGTCCCACTTTGGAGCAGTTTTGGAGCAGTAAAACGCTCGCTTTAGAGCAGCTCGGGAGCAGCAAAAATAAGTTTTGTAGCCGTAGAAGTAGGTTTTGGAGCAGGTCACGGAGGTCAAACAAATGTCTAAAAGTGATTTGTTGTTTCTAAATGTGAAAATGTAGCAAAAATATATGCATGCACATCCCAGAATAATTTTCAAGCAACATACATACACATTTTTCTATTTCTATTGCATTGAAATATGGAATATTGGTAATTTATGCAAAGGAAAGGCTTTGAGAACCATTCCGGCAGCAGGCAGAGTCATGATAGACTTTATATGGGAGGCCCCGACAATAAAAGCCTAACTTGAGCCACGCCAGTACAAAACCGTCTACTTAATAGACCAATTGTAAACATGTATCCAGAAAACTAAACCACTGCAAGGTGTCAGATAAACTACCTTCGCTGACTACACTTTTTGTTTAATAAAGAATACACATGTTCAATCACTACTTAAAAAGCCCTATATCAAGTTTAGTAACAAAATACAAGGCTACTGACATTTGACAAAAATTCAGATACAAAATAAAATGTGTATTTTATATCTTTAGACTACCACAGTCACTCGTACATATGCAGCTTTAAGCATCGACTAGAAGAGCAACGCAACCTTATGTACTCCATAAAATGCTGTGCATTGCGTGTCTCCATAAAAAAAACTAAGGTACCACAACATGTTTCAGAATAAAGCAGTCCTTGCTGACCTGTTTTCATTAAATACAAATGTTCTTAATCCCTGTTCATAAAATACAGTAATCCCTACACCCAAGTTAACATACAAAGCTATATCTAATTACTTTGGATGGAAAAATATATTGTCTTAAAAATATCACAGCCACTAATACATTTGCAGCATAAACACTGACTAGAAGAGCCCACAGGCTCCATGTTCAAAAAAAAAGGGTTGTGACTAAGCTGAATCTGTGTAATTTAGATACAACTGAAGTTCACCTTTTTTTTCACAGTTTGAAGAGCAGAGTCAATTTCTTTTATGCGCTCGAGTACTTTGGGCAGTTCAGAGTTCACATCTCTTAGCAGGAGGTGTCCACTCCCCACCTTGTCCATGTCCTTAACTGCCTCACCCTTGCTTATGAGTTCTTGTGCACTCAGTAGAAGTGCTTTAAGAGAAGACAGTTTGAACGAGACTGAAAATGAGATGTAGCTGATCAGGCGCTGATCCCTGCGGGGCAGGCTCCCATCTTACGTGACAAAAAGCCCACCAACTTCTCTCTACCCTACCCCCCCCCCCCCCCCCCCCCAACCAGAAACTTATACGAGTAGAGTGGCTATAGCAAGTTAAGGTGCATTCTTGACAGGAATCGGCAGCGCGGGAGTGTTGTACGGCATTTCTGATGTAACCCCCACACCTCCACGCTAAAGGAAAGAAACAAAAAAGTGTGTAGCACTGCCAATTAACCAACTCGCTTAAGATCGCGGGTATTGTTTTCGCCAGTGGTTTGACGGCGGTAGACAACACACGACAGCGTGCACATTCGCGCACACAATGATGGTTTTGGTTTCGTTTTGACAAGACAAATTGAGCTCGAGAACGCATGTGCCTGTGCTCGCGATTCTTCACGGCTAAGCGTCCAAATATGGTAGGCTACAAAATAACAGGTAAAGCTAGTAAAGACCACTTACTTCTGCTCATGTTAATGGCCAAGGTAGCCCACCGGTGCCGAGGCACGAACTCCCACGATCACGGCAGATCGGGACCACGGGCAACTGCATGCGCGCTCCAACCGCGCCAACCAACTATGCCCGAAACCAAACCGATGTGTTCGTATATAAACTCTTTGTAGTAAAAAACGACATCGCACTCTCGATGAACTAAAATCGACGCCTCGCCCTGAGGTTAGACATGGTTCGGAGCCCCAGTCGAGTTGGTACGAGTCACCCGCAGTGACACCTAAGCAAAAGTACACACCTCATGGTGGCCCGTGGCCAACCGTTTTCCGCAAAATTAAAAAAAAAACACAAAAAAAAAAAAAAAAGTTGAAATTGGCGTTTAGGAGCAGGCTGGCGCAGGGAAGTGAATTGGCGCAGGGTGGCGCAATTGGCGCAGCGCTTCCACCCCTGAAATAACGCAATACTCAGACCATCACATCGAACATTCTTCCACTTCTACATGCTGTCCACCAAAATGTTGTCAACAAAACAAGCACTATTTGTCCATAAAGACGTCCACCTCTTTTCCCACTTCTGGAAATTAATGTCGTACTCCCAGAATGCCACGCGCCTAAGCAGACAAAGACACCATAAAATACCAAGTAGCCTTGCGCTTAATGCCTATACCCATTGTCGAGATAAGGGTAAGATGAAACTGGCTCACTGCCTCTACCGTGGCAATCACGTCAAGCCAAGCATACCAACCTTGCCATGATGTTCCTTGCACCAGTCATTCATGCCTTCAAGGACTTCGTCAGGCTGATGAATAGCGATGTCGATACCCTGAAAAAACAGGAAACGACCTGGTTAGTTGCCTTCCACACTCGTGGGGCAACTTCTTGCGGCAGCAAAAGAAGGTACATGAACACACGTACGTCTGCTCATCGTGAGCACCGATGATTTAATTGTATTTTCTTGTGTGCTCGGGAGCTTGGCTAGTAGGCGCCCCTCTATACCGGTTATAGACGCTTTACACACGCGCCAGACTACAGACGCCATTGCCGACCTTCTATTGTCTTACCAAGATATCAAACCACTGAAGCGGGCTTTGGCGAGCCTCCACAAAGGCAAATGCTGAGAAAAAAGACACCGTCGTATCTAAAATGCCAGTAACCTGTCCTCCTGAGGTAATTATGGAGCAGAGTGAAACATATAAGCGAAAACAAAAACTGAAGGGCGGTTATGGCGGCGCCCATGCACAGCTGCTGTAAAGCGTCTATAGACCTATCTGCTAGCCGTGCACGCACCCTGTGTTCCTCCTTTCTCTTTTGTGCAAATAAAAGATTGATTAATTAATTGACTGATTGAAAACATTTTGCTTCGGCATCGCCACATAAGCTTCTCCCCAAGTAACGGAAGAATTTACCACACCAATGATGTACAAAAGAAAAATTACAGGAGTATACTTAAGACTGCTTACGGGGGTGTAGGAAGGCGAAAGCATTATAGTCCCGCCGGAGAAAGGTTTTCGAATAATGTAATAAAGTTTAGGACGCCGTCGAGGACGACGTCCTAGAGCTCGACGCCAAGTACGGCGTCTAGGACGACCTCTAGGCCGACGTCGACGTCAGGGACGGCGTCTAGGACGACGCCGACCTCTCGGACGACCTCAAGGACGACGCCTAGGACGACGTATAGGATGACTTCTAGGACGACTTTAAAGACAACGTCTAGAACGGCGTCTAGGACGACGTCCAAGACGATGTCGAGAACGACGCGCATTTACGTCGGCGGCCATGTTTGCCTGCGGAAGCCGCCGTAGATGTAGACGCGGCTGCCAATGTCGAGGCCCAAAATGTAGACGCGGTACCTCACAGTCCATCGCACGAAGCACACGACGAGCACAGATGAAGTCCGAAGCGCACCTTTTGCACACGGCGCTTCGGTTGTGACATCACGCTGATGACGGTTGATGACATCACGTGATGACGCTTGATGGCGTATTTATATGGCCATCTTTTGGGCACGACACCGCCGCCGCTTGTTTTTCACGTACAAGTGAGGTCGACTTCTAGGACGACCGAAAGGACGACGCCAAGGTAATGAGACAAGTAGGGTCGCCTATTGATTGGCGCGTGCCGCTCAATCATATTTTTATCGGCTTTTTCGATGATTTTTCGCTCGATGGGACAATAAGGCTTTCGCATTAAAAAATTAAAATTACAGGGCAGCAAATTGATGGTCGATGCAAATTTGCAGGAACCACAGGGATAATTACCTATGAATGCGTTTATCGTTGCACATCGCCAAATTTAGCGGGGAAACTAAATTTATGCATAAGTCGTGACGTCAATTTTTCCGCTAAATTTAGCAAGGAAACTCCCCGCTAAATCCTTGTCGCCCTTGTCCCTGGAGGTCGTTTTTGAGGTCGTCCCAGATGTCGTTTTTAACGTCGTCCTAGATGTCGTTCTTAACGTCGTCCCAGATGTCGTTTTTAACGTCGTCCTAGATGTCGTTCTTAACGTCGTCCCAGATGTCGTTTTTAACGTCGTCCTAGATGTCGTTCTTAACGTCGTCCCAGATGTCGTTTTTAACGTCGTCCTAGATGTCGTTCTTAACGTCGTCCCAGATGTCGTTTTTAACGTCGTCCTAGATGTCGTTCTTAACGTCGTCCCAGATGTCGTTCTTAACGTCGTCCTAGATGTCGTTCTTAACGTCGTCCCAGATGTCGTTTTTAACGTCGTCCTAGATGTCGTTCTTAACGTCGTCCCAGATGTCGTTTTTAACGTCGTCCTAGATGTCGTTCTTAACGTCGTCCCAGATGTCGTTTTTAACGTCGTCCTAGATGTCGTTCTTAACGTCGTCCCAGATGTCGTTCTTAACGTCGTCCCAGATGTCGTTCTTAACGTCGTCCTAGAGGACGACGTCAAAGACATCTTGAACGACCTCAAGGACGACCTCTGGGACGACTTCGAGGACGACGTCAAGGTCGTCAGGTCTTTCGAAGAGGGTGTAATGTGAAGGAGTGCTGAGTAAACTTGTATGCGCAAACGCAGAAGACGAACACCAAAGTGTGGACAAGGACAAGCGCGGAACATGAAGGAGTGTGTACTGCCGCTCCGGATACGCGCGGCGCAATGGGTTGGCAGCACAGTCAACTGAAATGGTGTACTGAGCATAGCTACTGAGCATAGCTACTGCGAGGCCAGAATATACGTGGCTGGAAATCTTGAGTAGAATGAAAATACAGCAAAGGATATACACTGCTTGCAAAGACAAATAGTTTTCTGTGAAGGCAAATAATAATCATAATAATAATAATATTTTATTGAACAATCAAAAAGAGTTGAAAGTAAACATCTTCGACAGAAATCTGTCTGGTTTGGGGAACAATTCGAAAAAAAGAAAACTCAAACCAAAAGTTTAGAAACAAAGAGTTCCCAACGTTTCGGGGTCGACTTGACTCCTTCTTCAGGGGTGACTAAAAATGGAATGGGACAGCACGAGCTTCGAACTCTCCTTCCTCTTCTACCGAGGTGATGTTTTGTGAACGTGACGCAGCCTCGCAGGCCATGGACGTAAATAGATGGTAAGGCCCCGGGGGACCTGTTAATGTTCCCCGGTGCATTCTGGATATGCCACGACTCCAAGGACAGGCGTTTTCGAATATCTGGCCCCGTGTCTATCACGTGCGCGTTTCCGAAGTCGATCCAATGATCAAATACTTCACAATGTTCCGCGACGACGCTACTCTCGCGATCGAAATTGTGCACATCGTTCTGGTGCTGGCGCATGCGTTCGGGAAAAGATTTAGTTTCACCGATGTGGGCGGCGGGGCACTCTACACACGGTACCTTATAGACCACGCCTTGTGCTTTCTCTTTTGGTAGGCGATCTTTCGGCCTTGGCATGAGCCGTCCTAATGTTGACACTGGCTTGTGCGCCACGGGGATCGGTGGCCGAGTGGTCTAGCGCACACTAGAGCCACTCGATATGGCAGCGTAGCTCTAGCGCACACCAGCTTGGAGCACGTGGAGCGAAAGCTCGCGCTGCAGAACCCAGGCATCCTGAGTTCGAGCCCCACCCCTGCCCGTTTCGATCTGGATGAGCATCGTACCGGCGTGCGGTCGTGTATCACTACTGCGTGATGGTTAAAGATCCCAGGCTAGCGGCTGTACCGCACTGGCTAAATTTCTCATCTACAGCTGGGGAGACTCGTCGCCCCTGTGAAGCAGACCGAGTTCTAGGCTGTATAAACAAACACACAACCCAATTTTTGGATCCCTTCTTTTCGCAGCACGCGCGCCAGTGTCTCGCTCGTCCCTTTTACATAGGGGACGCTAATGCGCGCGATGGGGCGGGGCTCTGTGTCACCCGACGATCCATGGTTATTGCGCGTGCAGTACTGTCGACGGGCGACGCGTTGAACAAAACTTCTTGAATAGCCGTTTTTTTGGAGGTCAGCAAGTATGGTCTGTTTCTCCTCTCTTCTGTCTCTTTCCGACGAGCAGATGGTCATTGCTCTACACAAGGGAGTAGAGACCACCGAGTTCTTGTGAGTCGTTGGGTGGTTCGACTCATAATCAAGATAGCGTCCGGTGTGTGTTGGCTTCCTGTAGACCGTGAATCCCAGTTTGTCTCATTGCCTTTTCACCAGAACAGGTGTTACCGGGTTCGCCAAATAATAATAATAATACTAACAATGGCACCTTCCAAAGGGTATTCTCCTCTATAGAAGATGCACACGGGCAGTATGTACGATTATAATGATGTTTAGTTGGGATATGTTTCTCATTATTTGTAAAAAATATTGTGATAACGAAGATAGTAACTGGAGAAAGAAAACACAAACCAGAATGTGTTCTCACTTTGCTCACCACCGTGTTTTATAAGAGATGTATGAAGCAATAAAAGCCTATACAAAAGACTTCTTACACACATAGGATTTTAGCGACAATGCATATTACCTCAAAGTCTTGCAAGGTAGTATAACTGAAACCACAGATCACCTGGTGGAGTAAACCCCAAAAGTGCAACTGAAGATGATTCAGAAATTCCAAAACAAAGCATCGGAATGCAGCTGGTTCCAAATCACTCAAAACGAGCGTATCTGGTGTAGTTTACACGAATAAACCGTTTATTTACAGACGTTACTAGAAATAAGGTGAGGTAGCATAAGCCCGTCCGTTATGCTGTCCAAGGCCCGTGTTCTGTGTTCCATCCTGTGGTCCCGTGCACCTTCGTCGTCTTTTACCCCACCTACTGGCTCTCTTTCTCGTGCTGTAGTTCGTACCAGCCTACATCTCTCTTTCTTCGCCTACTTGTTGACGAAGTTTGTGTCCCTGAAGCGGGCTGGTTTCCTTTTCGTTCTTTGGCTTCTGCGGAGCATTATGCTGTTTCGCCTGCACTGGACACCATCGTCGTCTTGGACGATGTACGATCTTGGCTGTGGTGCTTTTGCTACAACAATAGCAGGCCTCCACTTTCCGCTGTGTTGATCCCTGAGAAATATATCTTCTCCGGTGTGGAGTTCGGGCAGAGTTTTGGCATTTTTGTTGTATTGTTGCCGTTGTTTCTTTTGTTTGTCCCTCAACCGCTGTTGTACTTCTGTGTGGTTTGTTTTTGTGCTTTGAAGCAGCGAAGGATGCGTGGGAATTTCTGTCCTTGTGTGCCTATTCATAAGCCTTTGAACTGGAGATCCCAGGACTCCGTCTCGAGGTGTGTTGCGCCACTCCAGTAGGGCGTCATAATAGTCTGTAGTTCCATAGCTGCATTTATTCATGAGCTTTTTGGCTTCTTGCACCGCTCTCTCAGCCATTCCATTGGATTTGGGGTGATAGGGGCTGGATGTCACGTGGGAGATTCCTCGGTGCTGTAGACACTCCTTAAAGTCTGCACTGTTGAATGGTGGACCGTTGTCTGAAACGACTTTGACTGGCAATCCATGCACAGCAAATGTTTTTAGACAGCAGTTGATCACTTGATTGACAGCTGTCCTCTGAAGCTGATGTGTTTCGTAGTAGAACGAGTAGTAGTCCACTATCACAATGTAGTGGTTGCCGTTGTGCTGGAACAAATCTATTCCAACCACTTGCCATGGTGCGGTTGGCACAGGATGGTTAATGAGAGCTTCTTTCTGTTGTCGTGGCTTGTTTTCTTTGCACACGATGCAACTTTCTACTTTATCCTTTATGTCTTTCTGCATTGTAGGCCAGTAGAGAACTTCTTTGGCACGATGTAGTGTTTTCTCTACACCGCTGTGCGCCCTGTGTAACTTTACTAGTATTTCACTCTTCAGTTGTTCTGGAATGATGAGTCTATTTGACCTGAACAGCAAGCCATCCTCTTCATGTATCTCGTCTCTGTATGGCCAATACTGCTTCAGAGTATTTGGTACTTCTTCTTTGCTGATTGGCCACTGACCTCTTGCATACTCTAACATGGTGGTCATATATTTGTCTTTACTTATCGCTTTCCGACATTCTTCTAAGGTTTCGTCTTTGATGGGGAGGCACTCCAAGACGTTCACCTCGAAAACCTCTGGCTCTTCCTCCTTTGATGGATTTCTAGAGAGTGTGTCAGCAATGTATAGCTCTCTTCCTGGGGTGTACTTAACTTGAAGTTCATATTTTTGAAGGGTTAGTCTCATCCTCTGTAGCCTGAGAGGGCACTGGTTGAGAGGCTTTCGGAAGATAGCCTCCAATGGCTTGTGGTCCGACTCCACGACAACGGTGTGTCCGAAGATGAAGTCGTGGAATCGACTGCATCCGTGTACGATCGCTAACAACTCCTTCTCGATTTGTGCATAGTTCTTCTGAGCGTCACTCAAGGACCTTGAAGAATAAGCTACTGGATGTCCCTCCTGCAGCAACACTGCACCTGTTCCTCTGGAGCTTGCATCTACTGACAGCGTTACTTGCTTGTTTTTGTCGTAGAACCGCAGCGTGGGTGCGACCGTCAGAGCCGTCCGAAGGGCTGTGAAACTTCTCTCTTGTTCTTCTGTCCATGACCAGGCTGTCTCCTTCTTTAGGAGTTGCCTCAACGACGCACTCACGTCTGACATGTTAGGAATGAATCTTCCCAGGTAGTTTACCACTCCTAGGAAGCTCTTCAGTTCGCCCACATTGTTCGGTCTTGGTAGAGCAAGGATGTCTTTCACTTTATCCGGATCGATTGAGAGTCCCTCTGCTGAGAAAATGTGACCCAGGTACTTGATTTGTTTCATGCAGAGCTTGCACTTTTCCTTGTTCAGTCGTAGGTTGACCTCTCGGCACCTTTGTAGTACCGCCTGAAGCCGACAGTCATGTTCCTCAGTCGTCTTTCCCCAGATGAGGATGTCGTCTATCATGATCTCTACTCCGTCTAAGCCTTCAAACACCATGTGCATTGTCTTCTGGAACACCTCGGGAGCAGACGATATGCCAAAAGGCATTCGCAGGAATCTATACCTCCCAAACGGCGTCGCAAAAGTACACAAGTACGAGCTGGGCGTGTCGAGCTTGATTTGCCAAAACCCTGTGGCTGCGTCTAGCGTCGAGAAGATCTTGGCTCCTTCCAATCGTGTGGCAATGTCCTCTAACGTAGGCATACAGTAGGTTTCCCGCATGAGGACCTTGTTCAGCTCTTGAGGATCAAGGCACAGTCGGAGTTTGGCTTTCTTTTGTACAACCACAATAGGGTGGACCCACTCCGTTGGTTCTGTTACTGGCGCAATCACTCTTTGTTGCACCAGATCTTCCAGGTGGTTTTTGAGCTTGTCCCTGATAGCGACCGGGACTGTACGCGGCTGCTGGATCACGCCTTGTGCATCTGGCTTGAGTCTCATGTGGTATTTGACGCCTTTTAATTCTCCCAATCCATGAAAGATGTCTTCATGGTGTTGCACCGTCTGACTGCAGTGCTTTTCCACGGATGCCACTCGCTTGATCAAGTTTAGTTTTTCCGCGATGGTACCGCTAATCGTGGTGGGCACTTCCCGTTTCACGATGTAGAATTTCACTTCGGTACTCCTGTTACCGTGCATGACTGGCAGGATGATACGGCCTTCTGCTTTGCTGACGTGTCCAAAAAAAGAGCCAATTCTAGTAGTAAGAACTTGTGGCTTCTGAGTCGTGACACGGCTAAGTTGCATCGCAGACATTACGGAACAGTTCGCTCCTGTGTCGATTCTGCAGTCGACTTGCTTCCCTGCGATATTAACATCTGCACACCAGAACTCTTCGTCGCCGTCACCATTGTGTAGGCTGCAGACCAACTTTTCCTCGTCCGAGTCGTAGTCGGGGGTCTTGCATCGTTCTACTTGGCGTACGTTTCTTCGTGGCGTACCTTTATGCTTGGTTGTCTTGTCTGGTGTGCGGCACACACGTGCAAAGTGTCCTTTCCTGCCACAGTTCTTGCATTTCGCATTCTTTGCTGGGCAGCCTTCGCTTGTGTGTTTAAGGTATCCACAGCGAGTGCATTCTTCCGAGTGTAACCCATGTACTACGGTGGGTGTCGCACCAGCTTGAATATCTTTGAACTGCTGGGCTCCACGTTCTTCGGTTCGACATTTTTGAATCACTTGATCCAGCGTTGGGTCTTCGTTAATCATGCGCTGTTGTAGTCGCTTGTTGGTCATTCCGAGAATGATCCTACTCCGTAACATGCGGTCGTGCATTTCGCCAAACTCGCATTGGGTTGCGAGTGTACGTAGGTCGGTAAGCCAGTCGTCGAACCGTTCACCGTCTCGCTGGTTCCGTGTTCCAAACACGAAATCCCTGTAGCTGACGTTTGTTGCTGTCTTGCAATGCCTCTATAACAGCTCCACTAGCTTTTCTACGCGCATTTCGTCCCCAGGGTTTTCAAACCGGAAGGTTTTGTAGACCCGTCTTGCGTCTTCCCCGATGGTCACGAGGAATGTTGCAGCTTGCACCTCGGCGTCTTGTGACTTGAGTCCAGTGGCGGTTGAAAACAACTTGAACTCATCCCACCAGTTTTTCCAGGACTCTTCCAAGTCGCCGGACATATCAAGTGGCCTAGGGGGTGGCAGCAGACTGGCGAGGACTCCTCCCGACGTGGGAAGCGCCACGGTTGGATTCCCGTTTGATGACTGTGTGTGATCTACCGGGTCCGGCATCGTTCGTGACTTGTCTCTCGCTTTCACTGCAGCTTGGAGCTACTCACACTTGGAGCTGGCTGGTCTTGGGTTTCTTCACTTCTGACACCATGTAGTTTACACAAATAAACCGTTTATTTACAGACGTAACTAGAAATAAGGTGAGGTAGCATAAGCCCGTCCGCCATGCTGTCCAAGGCCCGTGTTCTGTGTTCCATCCTGTGGTCCCGTGCACCTTCGTCGTCTTTTACCCCGCCTATACTGGCTCTCTTTCTCGTGCTGTAGTTCGTACCAGCCTACATCTGGGAATACTATCTTGGCGTAAATCTCAGGTGTGCGGCCTGTTTTTGGCAATTCCCCAACCTCAGATCCCGTCTGAAACGAATCTTGCGATTCAGGGATCAAATCCGGCCCCGCAGAAGGGAAAATGGCGTTCCTCCTTTCTGCAACAGAGAAGGAAATCGGTGGCGTTTTCTTTCCTTCATGTTGTTTGCTGGGGTTCCAGAAAACAAGACAAAGAAGCCTCCTCTACTTTAAACTGTAACTGTTTGAATCAATAAGCACGAAATATTTGAATAAACATGCCTATTGTATACATGGTCGGATCCTCCCGATAGCAGGCAGAGTTTGAAAAAGGCCATCTAAGTGGCTTCGTTGAATACTGACATGCAGCCTAGGCTTTCTGCAAAGGAAGTAATCATGTGCGTGCCCCTCCCTAGCCTGTAACGGTAGTGAACAAGAGAAAGAAGGACTGAGCTCTTCGGAGAGAACGGGGAGAGACTTTGGGAGGGGAGGAAACAAGCAACAGAGGGAAATGCAGGACACTATCCTTCAAGGAACGCTGCTGCTTCACTAAAAACGTATTTAACATTGTATCACCTCCGACAGAAGGTTAAGTTGACCATCAGTCACCAGGCAGGCAATCTCCATAATCTTGCAGGTCTCCAACTCAAGCCCTGTGAGCTGGAAAAAAAGAACAGCTTCAAGAGAGAATATCCCGAACTTACGCTTTGCACAGTGTCACGGAAGAATTGGAAACCATTCCAGGTGTACAAAATGTGTTGCGGTAGTATCACTAGAACACAAACGTAGATACATTTCAAATTTTCAAAATTTACAGATGGAAAACCAACCCGCAAATGAAAAAAAGGACAAAAAAAAAAAAAAGAGGAAAACAGAAATTTAGAATTCAGGAAACTCCATTTGTTTTCATTACTGAGATGCAGTGGCATTCACATATAGAAAGCTGACAAAGCTTTTCTAAACAAGAACAGACATACACCAGCATGCAAATGCAAAGGAAAATCTTGGGCATGAATAAGCATGACCGAATGCATCTGAACAAGGTATAAAACACCAAATTAAACATGCATACACCTATCTATTACAACCCATTATATACAGCCGCCAGAATCCAAGAGTCACAGAACATTTAAGCATACCAAAACAATCCTGAGAGCAGGGAAAGAAAGATAAATCCTTTCAAAAAACCATTTGTTCAGCTTTCTTGGCAATATTTAGCAAAAGAACGAGAATTAACGAAATTCAAATACATTCCAAAAACAAAAAAAAACGAAAAAAAAATCAGTCTTTTAATGAAATTTAAAGTACCAATTTTACAAAGTATTGAAAAGACGGAACTGAATACTGTTTAGGCCTCACGCGAACGTAAATTGCGAAAGGTACATACTACGAAGTAAAAAAAAAAAAAGGAATGCCAGAAGGATTTTGCTTACAATCTTTTTTGCTCGCAAAAACAAATCAAAGTAAACAAATACAAATCAGCCGCACAGCCAGATATAAAGCATGATGAGACAGGTTGCCTCCTGATATGTATGGCAGTACGGTAGTACTGTGCCAACCGTACAATGCGACTAAGCAAAAAGAAAAAGAAAAAAAACAAGAAAGAAGGGAGCATTAATCAGGCATCTTTTTGCGATTACGAAAATTAAAAAGCGCAAAAGACAACGACAAGAGGGAGACAACACAGGACAAGCGCTTACTCGCAAGGCTCAAGGCGTCAGGCTACCCCACCTCCATCCTGTCTGACGTTGTTGAATGCATGATAAAACCAAACAGAACAAGCAAGAGAAGTGGAGAAAGAAGATGTCGACCGGCGGTCGTCCCTTATATACACCGCATCTCTCACAACTTCAAGAGAATTGCCTCTAAATACGAAGTGCCGGTTGTGTTTTCAGCCCCCGACAAGCTTAAAAAGCTCTGCCCCAATGTCAACACCCCGCGCACAAAGCCTGACAAATGCAGTGTTAGGCAACAAATACGTCAACTGTTGCAGCGGGGTAGTGTATCTGATCCCGTTCACCTGTGGGAAGGTATATGTGGGACAGTCGGGAAGGTGTATCAACGTAAGGCTCAGAGAACATGCGCTATCTCTAAAATCCTCTCCGTCGGGGCATCTCGCTCTACATGCGAGGGACTGTAGATGGGCCCCGCTACTCATGACGCACGAGGACACAGCGCACCCGTAACAAACACTAGGACGACGTTCACAGTCACACCAAAAGAAAGGGACACTTACAGGGGTATTCACACGAGGGAGAAATCCCGGGGATTTCTCCCCGGCACGCGCGCATCACGAGATGAAAACGCGAGGCTTTTGCACATCGCAAAGCCTGACGTTTTCGTCGTGGCATGCGCGTGCCGGGGAGAAATCCCCGGGATTTCTCCCTCGTGTGAATACCCCTGAAAACGCGAGGCTTTTGCACATCGCAAAGCCTGACGTTTTCGTCGTGGCATGCGCGTGCCGGGGAGAAATCCCCGGGATTTCTCCCTCGTGTGAATACCCATTCACACGAGGGAGAAATCCCGGGGATTTCTCCCCGGCACGCGCATGCCACGACGAAAACGTCAGGCTTTGCGATGTGCAAAAGCCTCGCGTTTTCATCTCGTGATGCGCGCGTGCCGGGGAGAAATCCCCGGGATTTCTCCCTCGTGTGAATACCCCTGTAAGTGTCCCTTTCTTTTGGTGTGACTGTGAACGTTGTCCTAGTGTTTGTTACGGGTGCGCTGTGTCCTCGTGCGTCATGAACTACCAACTCGCCCGAGCTTCTGTTTTAACAGGCCCCGCTACTGTCGAGCACAAGGATCCTGAAGAGGTGTCCAGATAAGCGAACTCGAGAAATTCTTGGGGCTGAAGTGATTGCGACCAAAGGAGACGCCTGCATCAGTGCTCCTTCGGTGACTTTGTCATCAAAAGAATTAAAGTACATGAAATATTTTCCTTAGATATTCTTAATTTGCTTTACCTTCCTCTTTCTTTTTCTTAATATATTTATTGTCATTTCTTTCACTGTTACTTTAATCATGCCCACCACTTCCTATTGTTTTTACTAATTTCCTTTTTTTTTCTTTTTCAATTCTCAGTCTTTTCAGATCTTTTCACTCCTTTCTCACAAATATTTCTAGCATTTAACGTTAGGGTTCTTCATCTTCCGAATTAAAACGTCAGTTGCGAGTAAGCGCTTGTCCTGTGCTGTCTCCCTCTTGTCCTTGTCTTTTGCGCTTTTTAATTTTCGTAATGTTTAACCAACTAGGCCAACAAATCATTTTGCTACAGTATCTTTTTGCGAGTCTCTAATGCAGGGTTGGGGGCGCTATCCGCCATTAATTCGCCGCATAACTAAAACACCCAACACAACCACCGCGAGCAACTTGATGAATAGCAACTTAGAATTACCTCGAGGTCAATCCAAACGAGTCCGTTGTTGCAGAAGGCTTTGGCCGCTTCGCCTTGCTCCATCCTCGTGGCAGTGGTGCAGATGTAGCGCTTTAGTGCTGTCCGCAGCAGTTGGGACAGATATCGCATCGAAGTACGAGAGCTAGCAGACACAAAAATTCAAAATTCCCGCCTTACTGCACCTCCCGTCGTCTAACCTGACCACGTGACGACGCTCGTCGACAGACGACGGAGCTCACGGAGGCCGACCGCACCTTTACCTTGCTGTCGTTTCCGCAGTGCTACTTAATCATTTGCTACGGCCTTGCATAACGCGCCGCTCCTGTTTGCAAATTAAATATATGGATTAGTACAGGTACAGTGCCTGGAACGCGATTACGACTGGTTTAATGGAGTGGCCGGAGTGGACCCGAAGAGGACGGAAGCGGCGGAAGCGGCAACAAAATACGTCACAGCAGCCGGCCGAGCCGGCGGCCACTGTTACTAGATAAACTCAGTCAAAAAACTCCCGTAGAAAGGTGAATTTCGTTTGCCTCACAGCTTACACCAATTGCTTGAAGCGCCACCGCTTTTGCATGCTGCGGCAAGTTTTTGCATAATACATTAGTATGCAGCTGCAGCGTGTAGAAAGGAAGGTACTTCGGAACATCGTTGATGAATATAGGAAAAGACGGAAAAGGATGTTTTTTCAACATGTTTTGTGTTTGGAGGGGGTGGAATGTAGAGCTGGCGAAAAAGGAGTTGCAGCAAGGTGGAACCATAGAGGGTAGAACTTGGAAGCGACGTGTCCGTGTCTCCCTGGTGTCGCCCTAATCATTATTTGGGTTATTTGGAGACTAGTCAATGTACATATACCTTGGACTAGTTTCAATCCGTGGCTTTCAACATCCTAATGCCATGTTACTCAGCTTTTTAAAGTTATAGTGCCATTCATATTTTTATATTTTGTTTTCAAGGGTGTGCTGAATTTTATTCAAATTTGAGTACAATCCAGTGGCGCCCCCACTAAAAGTACGGAAAAAGCAGGGCTTTGTTGGTCTGGTAGTGCATCGGGGACTGAATGAGGAGTTGCCGAGTTGCTGGTGAGGCTCTGCTCCTGTGAAGGAGGTCGGTGCGGTGATGTCTGTGACGGGTGGAAACGAAACTGCCCTGCTTGGAAGTTTCGCCAAGAAGCAAACAAAATACGGAAGCACCTGCAAGCATGTCCTGCGCGCTGGAAAGACGATCAAACACATGGTTCAGCCCCACGACACCCTACAGGGGCTAGCGCTCCGCTATGGGGTCACGGTAAGGAGCCCCGGCCCACACCCGCGATCCAACCTCGGTCGCCGAACCTCGGCTTCTTTGTCTCCCGCTCTTTCGAGCAGTGCGCTGATGATCCACCTGAGCTAATCTGGGAAAGCGTCTCGGAAACTGCTGGAGCAGTTTGTGGCCATAGCGGCGCAGTTCGCGGATGGCACTCGCGCCACAACGCGCGTCTCTAGGAACTCGAGATTGGGACCAGCGTCTTGGTGACCCATTTTTGAGCCAGCGGGGTGCCATGCCCGGAAACTAGATCTTCTCTTCCTTGTAAATGTAGCAAGCACGGTTGCGAGTGTGCTGGGTGGACAGGAAGGATCGCTGGCGATCAGACCCGGGTGGTGACAGCTTCCGAATCAGCCCCCAGCGTCTGATGGCGTAAAATCGCACTGAAAGAGCGCGCACATTCTTTAGCGTGTACGGCCCCGAAGGTTTACGTAGTTGCCCCATTTATGGGGCTGTAGCAGAGAGGTTACTTAGCTTTGTTTCGGTTAAAATATCCAGGAATGTCGCATATCGAAATGCAGATGCCACTTCGTCTCATCTGGTGTTTTGCGTCATAAATCGTGCGGGCAGGCACTTCGTTGTAAACGAGGGCCGCTTCCTAACAAGCTTGTTAATCTTTCCCGATGGCACAGTGCCAACCACAGGGCACTGAGGAAAAGTGGATGCTCACGCTTTACGAAGTTACAAGGGCTGGTCGGTGTCCATTCCTCTCAGACACACAAAGCATATGCAACAGCTATGGTTCAGTGTTTGCGCTCGTCGATGGAGAATTAAACAAGCCATGTCAGCATGGATAGATCTACAGGGAGCGTAGATTATCCTGGCTCCTCGTAATACCTGGTTAACATGCAATATGCAGCTGTGGGAGTGTACTTACCCAAACATATTCAGTGGCATCGGAACAGGGAGGGAAGTTTCTTAGACATTTAAAAAATTTTCTAGTAAACAATATGGGGGCGGAGCAGGAAAATCTCCACCGCCCCACTTCATTACCATTGTCACCCGCCTATCTCTTAAACATTTCCGACGCATCTGGATATCATTGTAGGCTTCATACGATTACCATATCACACAACATGGATAGGCCGGGTTCTCACAGTGGCCACATGCAGCCTCAGGTGGCAGATAGCTCACATTTTCTCCAGACATTTCAGGGAAGAAATTTAGTTTTTGAAGCCCAATGTGTATAGTTTTGTGGCGATAGAAAATAATATATCTTGGGGCAGAACTTGTGAAACGTCAAAGCATGCAAACTGGGAAAGTGTGAAATGGTTCGTCCCTTCTTATTCCGTTCATTTGTAGTATTGCAGTTTTGGCAAAAAACTAGCATATAGTAACGAAGAGGGAAACCGCGCCAAAAGTATGGGGGATAAAGAACGAGGAACACACAGACCGAGTGCTGCTCCTCGTTCTTTGTCCCCCGTGCTTTTGGCACTGTTTCCCTCTTCGTACCTATGCATAATCAACTCGCCCAATTTTCAACGGTAGCATTAAGGACATAGAGATTTCTAATACGTTACTCCTGTCCTAAATCGAGAATCGTTCTACAATAGCGTCACAATATTTCGGCAGGCAAGCCTGTGAATTTGACCTACTGATGATGGGTCGTACTACCCGCCATCTTACGCATGCTGAAGTGACGACGTGACACAGAATGTGATCCGTATGGCCTTCGCAGGCATCTGTGTGCCCTTTATAAGCATCTGCCGTGCTGACTTTCTATTGCTCGCCTGTTTTCTGGCCCCCTATTTTTACTTAAACAAACTTTTTCTTTTTTTTTGTAATCTTAAGATTTGATTATTTTTTTTTATTTTTTACTATAGTTTGTCTATTACATTGTTTTGAAAAGTAGAAAGGTTCACTTTTGGTACAAAGTAGAGCTCGGAAAGTTTGTTGTGCTTGTTTGTTTCTTTTTGCATATAATTATCATAAAATATATATATGTACTATCAGGTTCGAATGAAATGCAAACAGTGATGGAACTTACAGTGCACCACCGGTGCAGCGTCAAAGCTTGGGTTGTGCTGGGCAAGGGTCAAGTGCACCGAGGTAGGACGCACACCCTCGCAGTGCCCTACTCCCTACCGCGCAGCTTTGTCAGTTTCCATAGGCCTCCAGGGGGCACAGCATGTGTTGACGGCCACACGCTCCAGTGTTTGCATTTCATTCCAACCCAATGGTACCTTTGTTTTGCACATCAATTTTCTGTGTCTTAATGCTGACTTCAGTCCTCATTACCATAATTTGCATCATTATCGTCATACTCTCTCATTGCTGTCTTTCCTTCACTCCCTTGTACAATCTAGCTGGCAGGGACAAGCATTCAGGCTAACCTCTGTCTTTTGTTCACCATCCTCCAGTCAGCCGGTCATGTTTTCTGTCTACTTGATTTAGTTGGTGTCTGTTGAAATTGAAGCACTGTATTGTTAGTAGCTTCACTTCCTTGTGCAGACAGCACGTCACATGCACTCCTTGCTTTGTACCGTATCTCGTGAAATTTGTTGCATGCATCATGTCAGAATTGCAAAGAAGGGGTGAGGCGGCAGGGGAAAAGCATGCGCTTATCTTGGCGTAGGATATACTTGTAGAGGACAAAATATTTTTACTTACGTGGTTATCGCATCAGGGTTATCAAGCTCACACAGAGAGATTGTATGTGACATCCGCTATGGGATCATACTTGCCAACTGGAGTTGTGTGTCAACTCTTGGTGCCTTCTGTTCTAAAAACAAAAAGATATACATATACAACTGTTTTAAGAAAAACTTTGTAGCTTAACATCATGTCATTACACCCAGCTTATGCCCCGATAACTTACTTCACATGTGGCACTGTATGGTTTTTGATTGTGCAAATTCCAATTACCCTTGCAATTTTCAGCATGAGCTTCTTTTTCTTCCTGGTTTTGGTTCACAAAGTTCCACATATCCTGCTTATGGAAGTTTCAGTTGCTGTTTATATGTATAAACCAGACATTTTATACTATCTTCTGATCTGTTTCGCTTTACCCTCAGAGAGACACATTTCTGAGAAATGTTGATGATGCCCGATTCGTAATCTATAACTAGGACTCCGTGTTTTCTAAGTTCATTTTTCGTCGAATTCGGAAGGCGTTTTTCCGCATTTATTTTTTGCTGAAAATTTGGAGTTTATCAGAGTTTATTTTTGTTTGATTCCCAATTCTTCGAAATTCAGAGTTTAATTGAACAGTGTTTCCTATTAAAAATAAATAAATGAATAAACATCTGGGTGTAGATGTATGCAAGATAAAAAAAGCAAAATGTGCTTCTATCAATTAATATTCATCTGGATTTGGCATTGGTGCCATTGCCATTGGCAATACTAATTTGTCCCGCGACAAAAGTTGCACTCAAGTTGCTTCGATGAGCGTCAATACTTAAAAATCAATAACCTCTTGGAGATAGTCACTGTGACGCTTGTATTCATCCCACCCTATTCCATCAACCTACCCCTGGCTGCCCAAGGTGGAGTGATAAAGGATGTAATAGACAAGCTTCAACTGCCCCTCTTCCCCATTTTATGCAATCTCTATGGTCCATAGCTTCCGCTGTTAAAAAAACACAACCTCTCTTTCCTCTAAAGCACAAATAGTATGTCCCAAATTGGAAACCAAAACAGCGGCTTTTGTCGTGACCTGTTGCCCTGAATAACCCTTGATAAGATATTTGAAATATAACTGGTGGAATTTTTCCAGGACCATTCACCCTGTGCAGTGATCAAACTTAGTTAAAAAATACTGTCCCTTTTTTTTCTCTCTTTCTTTTTTTTTTTTTTGGGGGGGGGGGGGGGGGGGGGGGGGGGAGTGGGGGAGGGGGCAATTGGCACATCAAAATTCTGAGTTTATCATATAATTTCAAATTGACCAAAATTTTACCGGCGGCTGTTTTTGTGAGTTTTTCGGATTTATCCGAAAACATGGAACTCTATCTATAAGACACTGGTATCGCCACTCTGCAAAAAATCTTGAGCCAACATTCTTTTTTAATTTGTTTTAGACAAGAGATAACCCTGTCATTGTTTCTCTGTCTAAAACTGGTGTTCGTTTTGATAACGGTCTTACTGACCCATGTCTAGTTGTATTGAGCACATAGCTTAGAGAGTTTTCAAAATCTTTTATTTTAATTCATATTATCCAGGTCCTATGACTGGAATATTTTTATTGCATATCGCAGCAAACATGGTGAGAAGTTCTGTTCATGATTAATTGAAGTAAATACCTAGGGAACGTTACAATGAGCACCTCAACTCTATAGGTGCCGCTATCAATGCGAGCCAATTCTGTATGCATTGTTTGAGAGCTTTATCTTTGAAGAGAACTATGGCTGGCTCACTTTATTGCGGTAATAGAGACAGATTAGTTGTGCTGGTTCCCACGTATTTGACCGCTTGCCATATTTTATCGGTGCAAGGTGCAGTTTGCAGCTTCTGCAGTGCACATGTTTTTTTTTGTCAACTTTCGGTCTTCTGCATTTACAAAATACCAAGATCAAGAGCTGAGGAGGATTGGATGTGATTTTGCAGGGAAGTAATCTTATGTGGTCCAACAGAGGTCAGAGAGAAGGTGGTACTGGCTGTGAGTAACCAGTGTTAAGATCGCTTTAAACATTGTTTACATCTTTGGCAGTGATGAGGGTATGACAATGCTGATCATTGGTGTTAGTTTTTTCTTGCAGGTCCTGTTCCATCAAAAAACTCTGTGCCGAAGTTGTTTTAATAAGTTTTGGTCACATACCTAATCACAAAGCATTCTTTCAATGAAAAGTCCCAGTTGGTTTTCACCATCTTTTGTTCTCATCACAAAGCTCATGAATGAGCAATTTGATTTCTCTGAAATCTTATTTCATTGCACCTTACCATGAAAAACAAGTTCATTTCTTGCATATTTTCCAATATTAACTTTTTACTACAACAAAAGTTTACAATTTGATTAAACAAAAAAGAAGTAAAGGAGTGAAGAAGTAAAGAAAATTGGTTCACGTGTTGTCAAGCCATGTTGCATGAAAATTACCCCCAGCAAGTGCATCCCATTTTCGGCGCCAGGGGCGGATGCAGGTATTTTCAAAAGGGGAGGGGTCAGTGTATCATATGTTTAAGACACCCCCCCCCCCCCACTCCCCCCTCCCCTCGTTTCCTGGCCCTAAGTTTTTGCACATGCAGAATTCAAGAGGGGGCGTCAGGACAACCGGACCCCCTCTCTGAATCTGTCACTGCTCGGAGCTGATATGTCCACTTTAATACTTTGTCACATAGATGGAGGAAATCAAGCGCGAGAACCGGCTGTGGACAAGCGACAGTCTGTTTCTGCGTCCATGGCTAGCCATTCCCGTGGAAGGCTGGGGATCGACCAACTGCAAGGGAGCGTCGGGTGGAACGCCGGACACTTCTCTGGAAGATTCTGAAGAGCAGATGGCGGAAGAAAGCATGTCAGATTTCCTGTGCCGCATCGATGACTCCATCGCCCGCTCCAAGGACCAGGTCCGTGTCCTGGAGAGAAACTGCAGGTGCGTGCATGAAATATATTGTTTTTAGGGGATTAGAGGTTTTCTTTTTTACCTCTTGTTTCTTCATTGATAATGGTAGGCTAAGCTTGGTGCTACAAAATGGTCCTGTACAACACCTGGCCACTAGACCAGCTTGGCATCCAAGTGTCCAGGTCGGCCTGTTATTTGGCTGGCTGCCTGTTCCATAAGCGTATTTAATGATGTGACTTGAATGGCCTAGTCATGTCAGTGCTATAAAATTTCGAGCAAGTGCCCACACAAAAAGTTATGCCGAATTCCACTGGTCGTTTTGGAGCATGCCGGGATTAGTAGACCAGATCGGAGATGGAGCACACAGTCTGAACAGAGTTGCTCCACCTCCGGATTCCCAGTGGACTCGTCGTGTCTGACTGGTCAAGCGAAGTGTCAGAACGACGGCCGCATCCGATCAGACACTGGCCAGTCATGGCCTCGCTTTAATGCACGCGATGCAGTGGTTGACCAGCGTCTGATCGGGTTCTGCGGTTTTTCTGACACATCTTACGATTAGTCAGACGTTTGGTCGTGCTTGGGTATGGCCTGGCTTGGTCCCCAGCTGTCATCGCTTGTTGGGTGGCCTGAAAAAAGGCTCAAGGTACACCTAAGCACTTCTTATGAGTTGTGAATGCAAAAGCATGCGCGCCATTCTTCCGCTCCCTTATTTCGTCTGCAGCATATTTGCGTTAAAGGCAGAGTACGCCCTCAGCTGCTCTGACCTTGGACGCTCCATGTTAACAGCGCGCTGATGGACACGCAGTGCCATGGGGCAAGCGGTCGTTGAAACCGACGTGCAGCGGCCAATGGGAGCTTCATTGACGCTTGCCAGCCAATGGGATTGAAGTCAAAATCCATCAGCTTTACTCTGCTCCTTCGGGATCGGGGATACTAAGTGCCGTTGTCTATGCTTTCGCGCGGTTTCATAGCTGGGAGCTGGCTTCACTTGGAGAAAGGATTTAAGGGGCCATTTGGCACGGCTTCAAACTGACGACGTTGGCTCGCTCCACGGGACAGTTAATGCTTTCGCATTAAAAACCCCGTGAGGACGCCAATTCGCGGTCACCGATAAGCTGGAAGCAGCTGTCCAGTCGTGGGAGGGAGGCACTGCCAAAAAGTGGTTCCAGCAGGTCATGCAAAAACTGCCATACAGGTGGTCCAAAAACATTCAGCTGCAAGGGAGGAGGCTGAAGAGAGTGAACATATGCACAGACCTAGGTAACCGGTATCTGCAAAACAGGAACTAAAATTTCAGGTGCCATTCAACTGGTTGCCTGATTTTTCCAACTTGGGGTACCACCACTCATCCACAAGACAGCCGCTGTGAATCGAGTCTCTGCCACTTTCCCTTTGTCTTGTAGCCTCAATAGCACGTCCCACATCCTGCGCAATAGAGAGCTGAATATAGACGATAATCCCATGTTGCGGTTTCGTTATAGCTGCCATAGCCGCCGTTCGTCCCGACAACCATCGCATGGCTGCTCTTTTGCTCTTTTTCTCACATTCTTTGGATGTGAGTGCTTTCTGCTTGCAGGCCTAGAACTAAAGCGACCTTGGTCAGACAAATGTTTTCTTCAGGCAGTTACGACTGGGTGCCAGTGAAGACCCAAACAAACACAACAAAGCTGCCCATTACTGTCTAAGTCACCTGGGTGGTGCAATTTCTAGGAGTGGGCTAGCTATTGGTGTTTTGCAAGAACCGAAAGTCATACCTAAATTTGGAGTGGGGTTATCTTTCATGAGTGGGGCATCTCTGGGAATGTTACCTTTACACAAGCACAGTCCATGACACAGAAACTGTGAAAAGTAGATCCAACGTACCAGAAGCTTTACATTGTCGGTGGCGGCAGCCATCAACCCCTCAACACTGTCAACTCTTCACTGGGTGAAGAGCTGAGTATGATGGGCCTTCTTCACTCAGCTGGATTGAGGGATTGATGGTTTGTGTGTAAACAAGACTGTGGAAGTAGGTTTTGCAATCCTGCTTGAGAGAGTGTTACAGTTGTTCCCCATTTTGTTCCTTTGTCTCTGTGGTTTTTCGGAGGGACATTTTTCTGGTTGTTTCTGCCAACAATGGAACAAATTCGCTCCTTGAAAAAAAATTTTCTTAGCATAGAGATATTTTTTTTTGGTGAGGTTTCCGTCTATGTGGAAAAACTTAGAGAAGTGTTTGTGGCACTGTGATTACTCTGGACATTGGTACTGTTCAACTACATATTAAACATATATTAGCTTTTTCTTCAGCATTCTAAAGAAACTGACATTTCCATCACCCTCCCCCAGATGAGAATACACAAAAACTTCTAATGACAACATAATTTGGAGAACAGCATCACTGGACGTATCAGCATTACCTACCTCTCGCCTGCCATACTCATGAACGAATGTGAGTGACTTCAAGTTACGATGGAGAAAAAGTATCACAGTAGTAAGAGCAGTGTGTAGCAGAATGCATTTGGTGCAGGCATTTCTTGTTAGGAGATAAGATTGTAGAAAAAGGATGCCGATCGGGAGCACTCTAGATTGGAAAAATTATGGAGGCGATTGCCGTTATGAACCTATGGGGATAAGAAAAACTCTGACATAAAAAATGTCCCTGTATATGGTATTCTTGACATCAGAAGGCTCGGAAGGAGTCCCGAGAGCAAATGCAGCATTTGGGCAACACAGTTCAGACCTCTGGCATAGACAGATCAGCAGGAACACAATAGAAGTAACCCCATCATAATCACTTCTTTGTATGATTGTCATGAGCTGCAGGAAAACCTTCCAACAGCTGTCAACTCGCTGAGCCTTTGTTTGGGGCTTAAGGCAACTGCTCTAGCCTAGAAGTGAAAGCTGTTTTTTTAGAAGCATGGAGCGCTTTATATAATGTATTAGCACAGAGGACCATCCAGGGAACATGGTGACATGCAAGTGTGCATTTGCCACACATGTAAAGTGTGATTCACACACTTGCGTTGAGTTTGACAGAGTGTGTGAGTTGCTATGGCAGCGGCTGCGTCGGCTCCAACAATAGCGGTTTTTACCCTGTTTTGTTGGAGCTGACGTAGCTGTTGCCATAGGAACCCTCGCACTTGGTCGGTCTCCACGTAAGTGAGTGAATCGCCCTTAACCCGTAATTTTACTTTACTGTATTAAAGTCTTTTTAGTTTCCCTAATTGTTTCGTGAATTGGAGGAGAACCCAGCATCTCAGAAGTGGGATTCACCGAAACCTTCATGGCGAAGCGATCGTGAAAGCCGATGTCGTTGAATTTTGCCAGTGGCGTAAATCACAGGGGGGTTAGGGGTCCCGACCCCTCCCTGTGTTTAGACTGGGGGGACACCCTCGCCCCTTGAGAGTTTGCATTGGAACAGCTTTTATTTTGACCTACCTCAAATTTAATGTCAACAGGTGCCATTCTGAAATCAACTTGAAGTTCCAACTCCTCACAGATACAACGAAGAAAATAGCATCCATTTGATCGGTTCGAAGAGATCAGTACAGCCGCAAGGTTATGAAGAATAAGCGATAATGCACGCAACTCAAAATGCCTCGTCGCCTTTACTGTGTCTTTCAAAAAGGAAGAAGACGTATCTAGGACCAATTTCTGTCCTTGACGAGAGCCCTGTGAGCATAAAGTGCCACTTAAGTTCTTACCGGGCGGCCTCACTTTTTTGTCGGCTTTTGTCCCGAACTTCCTGTCCTCATCACCTTTTCACTCTCTCGTATGCCGTACACCACATTTCTTGTTCCTACCTTCTCACTCCTCCACTTTCCTTTTCTGAATCTTCTTAGCTACTCTTTCAGAGCTGCCATTCTTCTGGAGACTAAGAGGAGTTGTGAAAGGCTACGGTTCACAGTGGAACCCTAGCCTTTGCAGCTACGGTTTCATAGTGAGGTCCAGACAGGCGGCAACCGAGGAGGGCATAATCCCTATCTTCCTCAAATCGGCACTTGAACTGAGCGCAGCGTGTATAGATTATGGAATGAATGAACAAGGCCACATGAGGCAGTAAAATTGTTATTCCTCGTTTGCCGAGCCTTTCTGGCTCTGGGGACACCAATGGAATTGAGCATGGTACGCGGCACGGGAAAAAACGAAGGCACCCCAGGGTCTGTCGGGTTTCGACTTAAAGGAGCATTGCAACAATTTTTGTATTTTGCGCAAATACCGCTTAAAACGGATCCCTAACGTTAATGACCTATGAAACACGTCTTTGTTTTTCACCCCACGCAACAGCAGTCCCAGAAAAAAATTAAAGAAAAACGAGCAGTGTTCGCCCCCTCAACTCGCAGCCAGAACAAGCGGCCACGTGATCTGGAGCCGATTATATGTAGGGTGTGTACTTTCCGGTGTTTATTTGTGAGAAAAATCGGCGGATGTTTTTCTGTGTTTATTTAGTTTCAAAACACTGGTGTATTTCGGTGGAACGTCTCACGACGAGGCTAAAATCGGTGATTATCGGTGAAAAAAAGCGATTGATCACAGACAGAGAGTTCCAATTTTTTTCACATAGTTCTTACACTTCTTCTCTAAGAAGCAACTATTTCTCACACTTGGTTATTATAGTAGATGCAAGCATACTTTCTTGCTTGCATCTGCACGCAAGGAACGTGCTGCCGTCATGGCAGCATGTTCCTTGCGGTTCGCAACCCGCAATTATGAAAACGCACGCTCTTGTACGACACGGACGTTGGCATTCTCTTCCAGGAACCACAGCAACCTCTGAATACATGGCTTGCACCGACATCACTTGGCCAGACACAATGAGGAAAAGACACGTGAGAGCCTACCCTCCACTGCGTTAATTTTTCCCCAAAAGGGGGCCATGGGAGACACAATGGGGGAAAGGCGTATGAGAGCTTAGCTTCCACTGCGTTCACTAGACGCTTTTGACCCCCAGAAAGGAGGGCGGACTGACGCCACCTGCAAGCCATGTATAGACCATTCCATTTAGCGCTCTCTGGGCGGCACCATTTTGTTAGACCGCAGCACCCTCTCCA